ACACAGAAGCCCAAATACCAGGGTGCTATAAGCGCCAATCAAAACAGAAGCAGTTGGTCGGGATAGTATACAGGGTTATCCAAATTAAGTGTCCACCATTAGTAACTTTGTTATTAGTGAAAATACAAAGTTGTTTGAATTAGCAAACTAGTAGCATTTTTAACGCTGGTAAAAATGAGAAATAAAAAAAAACAATTGAGAGTCGTTATTTTGATTTTTTTCAGTAAAATAACATTTTTTTAAATGGAAACCCCTGTATATTATATTTTTTTCTGTTAAAGCATCAAATTTTAAACAAAAAAGTTCATAATGACTTTTCCGCTAAAGTCAAAAATAAAGTCAAAATAACGATAAATATTTTTAATTATTTGCAGTATTATAATATTAAGACGGCTATGAAAACAACATGGCGTTCGCGATTTGACAGCATTAAGATAAGCGACAAATTGTTAAACGACATACTCGCAACTAGAAGGCTTTGGAAAACAATGATAAAATCAAATAATGTCAAACATTAGTGTAAATACTTGTTTATAAGCTTTATTGTGTCATTAATTTAAAGAAAAATGTTCTCCCATGAAGAAAAGTGTGATATGTTAGAATGCTATTTAGTGTGCAGAAAATCCTCCTTGAGAGCAAGAGAATACTACAGTGAATTATATCCCGCTCGCATTCAACCGTATGAACGATATTTTCTGAGACTTTATCGAAAATTTAGGGGCAACGAAAATGTTTTTGCTAAAACAAGGGCAAAAAAAGAATTCATAATAAGCGAGGCCACGGAAATTGCAGTTATTGGATATTTTGAAGCTTATCGTGAGAATTCAATAGCAGATATTCTCAAGGACTCTAATTTCAGTTATGGTACTGTTCAAAGGATTTTAAAAAAATACAAATTTATTCCGTATAAGTACCGACCAGTTCAAACGCTTGTGGCAGGGGATCCAGAGAGAAGACTTGTTTTTTGCCATTGGTATCTTAGCTTCTGTCGCCAAAATGTAAATAACTTTCGTTACCTTTTATGGACAGATGAATAAAATTTTTCAAATTCTGGAATGTTTAATAGAAAAAACCACCATTATTGGTCAAGAGAAAATCTTTTGTTAGTACATCCAAGAGGCCCACAAGTCCGTTTCAGTTTCAACGTTTGGTGCGGTATAATTGGTTCAAAAATTGTTGGCCCGTTCTTTTATGAGGGAACCCTAACTGGTGAAAGATATGTGAAATTTATGTCAGAAATTCTGACTAATTTCTTAGACGAATTGGATCTTATAAGTAGACATCATCTGCATTTTCAGCAAGATGGCGCACCTGCCCACAACTCCAGAGGTACTTATCATTTTCTAAGTACTACTTTTAATGATCAGTGGATAGGAACAAATGGCCCAATACAGTGGCCTCCCAGATCACCAGATCTAAACCCACTTGATTACTTCTTGTGGGGTTACTTAAAGAACCAAATTTACAAGCGAAGGTACGATAACCTTGACGCGTTAAAGACTGCAGTTAGGGAAAAGATAACCCAGATAGATGGTAGGACCATACTTAAGACAGTTCGAGCAGTTGAAAAACGTGCCCAAAAATGTATTGAAGAACAAGGTGGTGTTTTCGAGTATCTTCTTTAAAAAAAATTGTTATTGTATTTTGTAAGATTATAAGTTGATGTTGAAAATAAAGTTTGTCGATACAATTTAATTGTTTCAGATTGGAGGCCATAACTTCAACAATTTTTAACCTAGGAGAAAAGTTATTGTAAGCTTTTTTGTTTAAAATTTGATGCTTTAACAGAAAAAAATATAATATACAGGGGTTTCCATTTAAAAAAATGTTATTTTACTGAAAAAAATCAAAATAACGACTATCAATTGTTTTTTTTTATTTCTCATTTTTACCAGCGTTAAAAATGCTACTAGTTTGCTAATTCAAACAACTTTGTATTTTCACTAATAACAAAGTTACTAATGGTGGACACTTAATTTGGATAACCCTGTATAATAATAATAATAGACGTATTTATTCGCCAAGCATCAACAAATAAAATTACATTTTTGTATTAAAAAAAAGTGTGGCGAAGTTAAGATGTGCAACACTGATGTGACACACATCTGTTCTTCCACTTTACTTTGAATCTATCTAGGAGCATGTTGCTGTTACTTGAGGATCTTCTAGATCACATTTTATTATTAAGAGTTGTCTCGTATCAAATATGTTTCCAGATATGTGGAAAATTTAAAAAGCCCCAAATATCAAATGTAAAAAAATATCAGACCTCAGACCAATAAGTACATTACCAATATTTTCCAATTGCAAATTATGGATTGACAAGTTTTCCAACACATCGAAAATAAATGCATTATACACTATGTCCAATCTGGTTGCAGAAATCTTTGTGACACAACAACAGTGCTCGCTTGATGACATTGTTAGTTCACTACATTGCGGTAAACCTGTTCGTTCAATATTACTAGATTACAGTAAGGTTTTGATACAATTGACCACGGAATTTTGTGTGCCAAGCATATAATATGGATTTAGTTCTGCTGCCGCCCAGCTTATAAAAAGCTTCCTTACCAAAAGATATCAGTATGTCTCCATTAATAAGAAATTATCTAATAAATCGGTGTATCCCAAGGCTCATTCTCAGTCCTCTTTTATTTTCTATGTTCATTTGGATTTTTCAAAACATATAAACAACAGCTTAATTCATCACTATGCCGATGATACACAATTATACTGCAACTTTACTTTTGACGATGTGGTTCTCCCTTTTAAGATGATTAACAACGGATCTGGACGTACTTTTCAATATCCCAGCAGCTGATAACTTGACACTATATGCTTATAAATCTAAAATAATGTTTTTTGGGTGAAGAAGTAAGCGTAAAATAGCATAAAATCTTCGTCAATTCGCAAGTAATAAAATTCCATTACCATTAGCAAAAATGTAGGGTTATGAATTGAAATTCAATTTCCGTATTAAAGAATTATGTTCAAAATCATATAGTATTCTCAAACTAATATATCCTCAACGAAATATATTAAATAGTAAACTGAAAATGCTATTGTGTTTTGCTTTTATAATTTCAAAGGTTTTAGATAAAAAGTGATATAGACAAGTTACAGCTACAATTCTTGTTACCGTTTTTCTCTAGGTATACGGAAATTTGATCATATATACGCCATGTGTACAAAGAGAATCTCAGGAAATACCAAGGTTCATGTTCGGTTCATAACATTTTAGTGTATAAAAAACCAGAATATTTTTTGAATAAACAAATCTGAAAACATCAATAACTTGGCTAAAAGAAACCGACAATTATTAGTTATATCTAAGCACTTTACGTTTCCCTACAAAAAGCTTCTCTTATACTACTGCCAAGTTAAACAATAATCCTCCATATGAATTTCGAAATTATACTCTGAATAATTTTAAAAAGAAGCTGAGGTCGCGGTTACCTAGCAGTACATAATCACTCCCTCACCACTCTGTCACACAAACTACCTTCATAGTCTTGAAGTAAATTGGCCACATACGATATCTTTATCTAGTTTTACAGAAAAAGATATAAATCTATAGTAATAGAGCGCCGATAACTTTATTATTCATTTTTGAGCAATTAGAAAAGGTCAATTTCATGTTAGGATGTACGGCTGAGTTCATGGTAACACTCCACCGGTACGATTTTCAAAATTTTTGTCACTTATCTGTTGTTGTATGTTGGACATATTGTGTAAAAGAATAGAATAAAGACAATTATTATCTTGACATACTGCAGGTCCATTCAAACTATTGTCGCAACACACTGTATAGGAATGGAGACAAGAAAAACTAAAAGAACCGTCACCTGGAAGACAGTTAAACAGAATATATCACAATTATTAGCTGCACTAGATTATACTGTCATTATTCTCACTGTTCTTGAAAAGGATACCGTGGTGCTCGAAACTTCGTACAACAAACAGGAATCTAAGCATACATTTATGTAGTTTGATTCGGCCATACACTGGAGTCCTATTCCAGTTACGACTTAATTAAGTGATTTAATTTATTTTTTATTTTTATATCTGAGTATTATTATTATAGTATTTATATCCATGAAATGTCTTGTATTCCTAATTATGAATCCAAGATCCTGGCATATGCTTTATCTGCCAGCTGTAAATGTTCAGTCGAGTATGTAAAATTTATGTATTGTTTTTTACGAGTAAAATTCAAACATGGCATTTGTCGATATTTAACGACACCTTATTTTCCTGAAACCAATTGGATACCAAATCTAAGTCATTCTGTTGTTTATGACAATCCTCAGATGATGTTATGGGTTTAAATATTTCAAAGTCGTCAGCATAAACGAGATATTCTGAATTGTTTATACAGTTTTCTAAGTCGTTAATGAAAATACAGAATAGCAAAGGACCAAGGTTACTACCTTGCGGCACCCCAGATGAAGCTATGTATTGGTTTGATACTGATCTGAAAACCTTTACCTGTTGTGGTCTCTTGGTAAGATAAGATGACATACATTTACATGCAGTTGAAGAAAAACCAAATCTACCCTGTTTAGTTACCAACAGGCCATGGTCAACCCTATCGAAAGTTTTGACACAATCTGTAAACACAACATCCAACTGTTGTTGATTATTTATAGCCTAAGCTGCTGCCTCTAAGAAGATGCTTAAATTGGTAACAGTTGAGACACCTGGCAAGAAACCATGCTGTTGAAGAGAAAAGTCGTTTATAAACGAGTTCAGGATATCTTGATACAAAAACCTTTGCAGGAGCATTAAGAACAGTGATAGGCCTATAACTGTCAACTAAACTGGCATCCCCTGAATATTGGAGATACAGATGTATTTTTAATTTTTGAGGGAATGTGTCTGACAAATTGAAAATTGTCATTAATGGGGTACTCAATATATCTGAATACTGTAAATATATGAAGCGATGTTGTCATTACCAGTTGCTTTTTTGGTTTTAACCTTTTGATACTTGCTTTCAGTTGCGCCTCGGTGACCTGGGAGAATATGTAGTCACTATTACACGTATCAAAATTTGGTTTCTCAGACTGTTGAAATACTTATCCAAAATACATTGCAAATGTATCGGATATCTCATGGGAACCGCTAATGGCACAACCCTCATACATACCTCCTCACCTTACGAAGTCCCAAAAGCTACTGAGGTCAGTCTTGACATTATTTTCAATTCTCTCATAATAGGTCTGACATTCTTGTGCAGCTTGGTGCTTGATTGTGGTTCTTAAGCTTTCTTTAACCTCTAAACTAGCTTTACCTTTCTCAATTTCTCTGTGAAGAAGATTTTTTAATTTAATGGTTTTCTTCAGTGGAAAGGAAAAGTAAACTGGATAATTGCCACCATTATACGTGGCTTGCTTGGTCTAAGCACCCATAAAGCTTTCCACAGAATAAGTCAGTACATATATTTTGCATCTTCAGCTTTCTGAAGATCTGACCAGTCAACATCCTCTAACAGAATGTATAACTTATAACAATCTCCTTTCGGGTTTTTAAGATGATTACTCCTGATTCTTCTGGTATGTCATAATGCTAGATGCGATCAACAGGTTGAATCACCCTGTATGTGCAGAATCCAATTACATTGACCCCACGCAGAGGATAAGTTTGACATGCGGCCAATAACACGTTTTCAATCGATTCGGTTTCTATCTTCGGATTGGTTTTTTGCCACCACATCTGACAGGCGAGGCATTCAAAAGCGTGTGGATTACTTGTCGAAATATAATGAGATTCGATCTAATGTTGCGGTTACAAGCAGTAACGTCTTATGGCAATTCTTGTGGGCCAGAGAAGAATTCATTCTGTAAATAAGGTGGTTTCGGTGTGGTATTTTATTTGAATTTTCTGATGTTTTCCTTATAATGTAAATTTTCAATTGTACGAACCTGATTCAAAGAGTTATTGTGAGTGGAGAAATCTGTGTTTTCAAGATATACAGGGTGTTAATTTGAAAACTTCCCACTACGGATTTATCAAAAATCACTGTTTAAAAGGCAAAACTCCAAGTCAAGTCAAAAGATTTGTTAAGGGGGACAACTTTTTAACCAAAGCGGAATTCACCCCCTTCCACCCTCTGCTCCCAAGGGAGCAAACAGTTTGTTAGAAAGCTTTTTTGAAGCCCTTCATTTTGACGTTTGATCTTTTAAAATCAATCGATTCGTTTTCCAGAAAACTAGAAAAAACTGTATCTGTTGCAAATAAAAAACATGATTGTCGTAGGTCTTTGGATGAAGACGCTCACGTTTTGGGTCATTTTGGAATAAATCCTAATACTTCATCACGCAAAATTGTTGCTGCGCCTGGTATTTCATTAGGCTCTGTACACACAGTTACTAAACTCCATAAATTTCATTCAAAATGAAAATATTGCAAGAGTTAACCGAAGATGCCAGATCTCCTGATTTGACGCCATTAGACTTTTTTCTATGGGGTCATTTGAAATCTATCGTGTTTACTCCACAACCTGAAAGTTTGGATGAACTTCGTCAAGGCATCATCGAAAGCTGCCATGATATCACACAATGAAAAGTGATATTTTCCTGTGTTTTTGTCTTCGATCGACCGATTTTTAAAATTAAACGTCAAAATAAATGAACTAGAAATACCTTTCAAACAAGCTAGTCACTCGATACCCCTTGTCATTAAAAAATTAAGGGAATGACCTTGAAACCCGTGGTGATAAGTTTTCAAATGAACACCCTGCATATTCAAACATGTACAATCCTCAAATAACGTTATCACAAAACACTGGCTGCCAAAGATTCAAAATACATGTAGCCACTTCATATACAATTTTAGAAGCTACGGTCATGTTCAATGTTCAACCACTTCCATGAATTTGGTTAAAAATATAAGATATGTTCTAATCAACTTTGTCGACGAAATATTAAAAACCTATGCTCCCTCTTATCCTAAGCAAAAGGAGTATGAGTCAGAATTTGAATACGCGTAACAACCATCTACTCACGATGCCACAAAATAGGACAGTCATTTTATAACGCTCCTTTGCGTACAATGCAGTGAAATAAATGATGTCGTTTAACGAAAACTTTATCAGCAACCTTTCTAAAAAAATCTATAAGAATTGTTTATTAAACGCTTAGTTATTTTTCACCTGTTCCAATTATATGTACGTTTTCAGTCTTTTTCTGATCTGTAGGAGGCATCTGAGGTGTCTCTCTGCTTTTAAATAACATCTCGTCTATTACTTGACTATTTATTTTAGGTTAAGGTAGACACTAGTTATATGACATAGTCAAATATAAATAGCTATTAGTCATATGTCGCCGTTTGTAACGGTATTTATGTATTTGCTACAATAAAGTCGAATGAATTGAATTCAAAGAACATGATCTGTTAAAAAATGTAGAATTAATTGGGGGAATCTGGAACGCTAAAATCAGATGGAGCTAGTTGGGCTGGAGTTCATTATCAGTCATTTCTAAGATTATGAACAGACAAACATGACAGTTGCAGATCAGCGGGTCAAGTCAATAAACATCAATACGTGAATATTACGTTACCATTCCATTTAATCTGTCGTTTCCCATATACGTTTGACAGTTTTGACAAACACACGAGCGCTCCCTATCGGTAGCAAACTCGGTCATCTCTGACATTGACCGTTAACCCTTAGAAGACCGGCATGGGATCATGTAAAAAACCTATAAAACGTCAAAAAAACATATAAGTTGTCAACTTGCAGACTAGGTAGTTTTTAGGGCGCAAACCGTCATTGCACGTTTGCTCACTAGGTAAACGTCCATCTATGGAGGAATCACTCAACTAAACTACGCATTATTGGTTGCATAGTTTTGTGAGGCTGAGTGATTCGGGTCTGTAGCTTTTATCCCTGAGAAGAAAGTTGGTTGAATAGCAAGATCGCATCTGGATGATTATGTGTGTTGGTCTGCGTGTGTATAAAATCAGTGATATTTGCTGTGTGTGAAAATCATTGCCGAATATGTCGGGCTATTTACATGTTGTGCTTTCTGAAGAGACGTTCAAAGTTATAAATTACGAAAAACTGAGGAGAATTACGAGAAATCATCACCGCACCCGCGTTGTGTGTAATTACGGTTAGCATGTATATGGCTTGTAATTCGACAGTGTACAGTGAATATAATCATTCCTTATCTCTCTCATTTTTTAAATTCGGCAAATTTGTATATGTAATTTCCAGAATGGATAAGAAAAAGGGGATGCGCAGGTAATTTCTAGCTTTGAATCTCAATTAAGTGTATTTGAGACAAGAACCCAATGTAATTATCATCAACACATACAACTTACAGCTTAGACCTCCAGTAATGCCAGAAACAGATGTTACATCACATCAGAGCCAACGATTGGTAACAAGCCTCATGACGTTTAGGCAACACGTACAACTAAGAGCTGAGTTAACATCTTGCAGAATAACCTACAGAATGCCAAAAAAAAAACAGCATAATGTCAAAAAAAATCGGCATAATGTCACTTTTCAAGATACGTGATACCCGTGCTGAGCATGACGTGGCAGTTGGCAACTAAGGCCCGTATCGTCATTCGACCCTACAATTGTAGGGCGCGTTTATGGGCTCCTTGATTGTCATACTCCTTTCTCTCCTTCAAAAATTTCTAGATTACACTTGTCCCGGGTCAGCGTCAGTGCTCTCCTATTGTGAAGATATGTTTTCTTTTTAAATAGTAGGAAATTTCAGGCTGATAAAGCATGATATAACTCAAAAGCAAGCACAATTTGATGCAAATAGATGTTTGTGACATAACCTCAAAATGGAGTTCTGACACGGAGAAGTAGAAAACTATGACAATCAAGGAGGCCATAAAGAGGCCCTACAATTGTAGGGACGACTGACGATACGGGCCATAGTTTTCTACTTCTCCGTGTCAGAACTCTATTTTGAGGTTATATCACAAACATCTATTTGCACCAAATTGTGCTTGCTTTTGAGTTATATCATGTTTTATTAGCCTGAAATTTCCTACAATTTAAAAAGAAAACATATCTTCACAATAGGAGAGCGCTGACGCTGACACGGGACAAGTGTAATCTAGAAATTTTTGAATGAGAGAAAGCAGTATGACAATCAAGGAGGCCATAAACGCGCCCTACAATTGTAGGGACGACTGACGATATGGGCCTAAGGGCCGTATCGTCAGTCGTTCTCACAATTGTAGGACGTCTTTATGGTTTTCTTCATTTTCATAGTCCTTTCTCTTCTTCACAGAGGCTGGGATATTTCTAGATTTCCACTGTTCCGTCTTGTGGGTAGATATAGGTAGAAAGTAAAGCCATCGAGTTTGAAATTTAACAGGAAAACTTTTTCTCTACTGAAGAGTGACTGATTTGAATATATTTGTTTGGCTTTTGTCAAATAAACATTTTATAACACCTTACGTTGTACACGTTGCGTGACTTGAGTTAAAATGCAGTATATCTGTTAGTATGCATTGGTTTTCTATATACTGATGTAACAAAGAAAAATAAATAATGTCATGCTTCCTATTGTGAAGTTATGTTCTTTTTTTGACTTGTAGGGAATTTCAGAAAACAGATAATTTAAATCAAAAGTATGAGGAGTTTGATGCAAATAGATATTTGTGACATAACCTCAAAATGACACGGAACAGTAGAAGACTATGAAAATCAAGGAGGCCATAAAGGCGTCCGACAATTGTAGGAACGACTGAAGATGGGACCTTAAACAGAAAGCTTGCATATCTTCAGTGTGTACTAATAATGTAGTCTGAGATGCAATGATGAATAGGCGTCTCAGTAATAGGTTAGTATAACCATATCAGTTTTCGCTCATGAATAAAGATTTCTGCGTTAAGCCACCGAAAAACGTGAGCTCTTGACAATACACTATCCGTAAGTCTACTGAAGTTTAGCAAGAGTTACCGTTGCACTGTGCCCAAGTCTGGATGTTCACAAAAAAGATCGCTAAGGACAACCAAATGACTCGAGGGAGTTCAAACTTGTACTGAAAGCGGATCACTTGTTCTCCTGTCTTCCCTCCAAGCTCGACGCCTCCAGTGTTGCCAGATCGCTACGTCGCCAGTCTCATTACTTCATTTACAGACTTCGTATATTTACCTCAAAGCCGCAATGGAATTAGGCAAGAGGTAGTGCTAAGATAACAGATCA